GACAAAGTTTGTAACATGAAATGTAAATCCTCCAAGTGAAGCAAGCCAGGAAAAACTCCCCAGTAGCTGAGAAGAAACCTTGTGGAGGAACGCAAGGCTCACGATGGGGGACCCATCCTCCCATCTGTCAACTACCTACAAAATTATTATACTACTAATATTAATAGTATTAGTAGTAGTAGTATATAGTAGTTAGGAGTCCATGACAACTCACAAGTCTAGAGTGGAGTGGGCAGCTAGTCGCACAGTCAAGTGCGGTAGCTGGCAAGTGGCGGCGACTCTGGGGCGTGGGCTAAACTGTCTGACGCGGATAGCATGGAGAGCGCCACAGACATCATCCATCAGTGTCGCGTCCGGCAGGTGGGCAGCTCTCTGAAAAAGGGTAGGGAGATGGAGTTAGTTTTGTTCTGTTGAGTGTATGTAAACACAGAGAATGTGACCATTTTCCAGAGTGTGGCTCACGACGTTCCGGTAAATGCTGACTATCAACAGCTTACTAAACGGAGCGACACGCAAAGGGCACACAGACACGATGGGAGCACCCTGAAACAATCTGGCATCCCTCCGCTCCACCGTCCACAAACCGGAGTGTGATGGCGTGCGAGCGCAGGACAACAGCACCAGCGTCTCAGTTTACTATACTTCCCTGCGTCCATGGACCCCTGGAATCTGCTGCTTTATCTAAGGGGGGACATTAACTACCAAAAGCTAAACTAAACATGTGAGTTTTCAGCCCAGATTTGAAGATTGCGACTGAGTCTGAGTCCCGAACATTTTCTGGAAGATCATTCCAGAGTTTGGGGGCTTTATAAGAAAAGCCTCTTCCCCCAGCTGAAGCCTTCTGAAATTTTGGAACTGTTAAAAGCCAGCACTTTGTGATCTGAGTAATCGTGGTGGCTCGTAAAGGGAAATAAGGTCTTGTAGGTACTCAGGAGCCCATGTAGGGCTTTATACGTCATAAAAGAATTTTGTAATCAATACGGAATTTAACAGGCAGCCAATGAAGTGATGATAGAACTGGACTGATATGATCAAATTTTCTAGTTTTAGTGAGAACCCTGGCTGCAGCATTTTGAACTAGTTGAAGTTTACTTCTGGTGCATCCTGACAGTAGTGCGTTACAATAGTCTAGCCTTGAAGTAATAAAGGACTAGTAATAAATGTACTAATGTTTCTGCATCATGCAGCGATAAGGCATTTCTTATTTTGGCGATGTTGCGAAGATGTAAAAAGCTGTCCTAGTGATGCTGCCTATGTGTTGATCGAATGATAAATCTGGATCATTTATGATGCCAAGGTTTTTTGCTGCTGAACCAGGTATAACTGGAAAGTCAGCAAGATTTAAAATTAAATCTGGTAATTTATTTCTTGCCACTTTTTGGACCCAGAAGGAGAACCTCTGTTTTGTGTACTGTTAGAAGGAGGAAGTTACGTATACATCCAGCCTTTCACATCTTTTACACAGTTCTCTATTTTCTTTAACCTGTATTTGTCATCAGGCTTGGCTGATATGTATAATTGCGTATCGTCTGTGTAACAGTGAAAGTTAATGCCATGGCTACTTATAACTGTGCCTAGCGGTAACATGTATAATGTAAATAATAATGGTCCTAAAATAGAGCCTTGCGGAATTCCAGATCTTACTCGTGAATAACTGGAAGATGAATCATTTACCTTTACGAACTGATAACGTTCCGTTAAGTAAGATTTGAACCACGATAGGGCGGTCCCTGTGATTCCAACCATGTTTTCTAACCTTTCTAGGAGAATATTGTGGTCTATCGTATCGAAAGCTGCGCTGAGGTCAAGTAGTACCAACAGGGATACGTAGCCTTGATCAGAGGCAAGAAGATCATTTGTTATCTTAACTAGAGCTGTCTCAGTGCTGTGATGTGGCCTGAATCCAGATTGGAATTTCTCAAATATGTGGTTCTTATGTAGATATGAACTAAGTTGTTGGGCTACAGCTTTTCTAAGATCTTAGATATAAATGGTAGGTTAGAAATAGGCCTGTAATTAGACAATTCGCAGCGTCAAGGTTTGGTTTCTTGATCAGAGGCTTAATAGCTGCTAGTTTAAAAGCTCTGGGTACATGGCCCAGGCTAAGGGACGAGTTTTTGAGGGGATTGCATCAAGTGTGCAGGTTGTACAATTTGCAGAGTAGATAATCTTCTCTAGTTCTAACTGTGGTAGTGGGTAGAAAGTTTCCAGCCTTTCCTCTGCAACTACGTTATGTTTTATATCAGCCATGTCAGATGACAGCCAAGTTGGATTTAATACTGTGGGTTGAGTTTGTTGTCTAATATTTTCAATTTTATTATTAAAAAAGTCCATAAAAACTTCACTGGTGAGGGTCGCCGGAATTTGTGGTTCAGTGCCTGCCTGATTTTTTGTAATTCTGGAAATCACACTAAACAGTCCTCTAGGATTATATTTATTATTCTTGATCAGCGAGGGCCAGATATGCTGAGCGAGCTTTAGTGAGAGCATTTCTATACTCTATAAGGCTTTCCTTCCAGGCCAAGTGGAACACTTCCAGCTTGGTTGATCGCCATTTCCGCTCTAGTTTCCGTACTGTTTGGTTTAATGTACGGGTTTTATCATCGTACCATGGGGTGAGCTTTTTCTGTCTTATCCTTTTGATTTTAAGTGGCGCCACATTTTCTAAAGTAGATCGAAAAGGTATTTTCTAATAGTCGGTTAATACATCTAGCTCCATTGGGTCTGATGGAGTGGAGACTAGGGTTGTTAGTACTGGAGGTTTCTATGAATTGCACGGGCGTGTAAATGGTTTTATTGAGCGCTTTGCAGAATAGCGAGGGGACGTACATGTATTATGGCGAAGACGTAGCTCATAAGAGATTAGGTAATGGTCAGAGATTACTGAGGTTTGCGGTAGGATATTAAGCCTGTCTATGTCAAGTCCAAGTGTCATAACTAGATCTAAAGTGTGACTGCAGTAGTGCGTAGGCCCTGTTACATTTTGGGTAATACCAACAGAGTCTAGGATTGAAGTAAATGCCTTTTTTAGTGGGTCATCTGCCTTCTCAAAATGGATATTAAAATCTCCTACATTACTTTATCACTGCACACAGCTAGGTTTGCAGCGAAATCACTAAATTCTTTTAAAAATTCTGAGTAGGATCCTGGTGGTCTGTAAATGTTAAATAATGAAAATGTGTTCTTTTTTGTGGCCGGATTTGTAATGTTGATGGAAAGAACCTCAAAAGAAGTGAAGGTGTCACATTGTTTCTGACTGATATCTAGGGTATTCTGGTAGATTACACATAATCCCCCTCCTTTGCCTGATAATCTTGGGCTGTGTACATAATTATAGCCTATAGGGGTGGCTTCATTTAGTGCTGAATAATCATCCTGTCTAACCCATGTTTCAGTGAGACAGAAAACGTCAAATTTATGATCACTTATTATTTCATTTATGATGACTGCTTTTGAGTTTAGTGATCTTATATTGAATAACCCAAATTTTAGAACTGAGGTGTTGCTGCTATCATCTAAATATGATTTAATATTGATTAGGTTATTGAAGCGGGCTGATTGAGTTTTTCTACATTTAGATTTGATTTAATTCAGGGTAAGACACAGTCTCAATATAGTGGATCCTAGGTGACGCCTCAAGGTGGTTCGCAGACGGTCGGTTTAGCCTGTCTGTCTGCAGCCTGGTCCCGGCTCTGGATTGTCAGCAGCTGTTTACACTACTCTGCCGACTAACTAAAAGACTATGTGCTATGCTGCAAGAAAGTAAGGCAGCACCCTCCCACGTGGGGTGGACACCATCCCTACCTATAAGACCAGGCTTGCCCTCGAAATGTAACCAATTATCTATAAAGCCCACTTCATTTTCCGAACACCACTTGGACATCCAGCAGTTTAACGCTGAGAGTCTGCTGTAGGCTTCAGCGCCGCGCCGCATTGGGATGGGACCAGAGCAGATTACGGCATCGGACATCGTCTGGGCCAGTTTAATCACCTCTCTAATGTTACCCTTGGTTACCTCAGACTGCCGCAGACGAATATCATTGGCCTCTACATGGATGACTATCCTCGAATATCTCTTATTAGCTAACAGTCTAAGGTTGCCGCTAATGTCCGGCGCTCTGGCTCCCGGTAAACAGCTAACTGTTACAGCTGGCGCCCCTAAAGGAGTAGCTAATTGCACGTGTCGAACGATCGAGTCTCCTATAACCAGAGCACTTTTAACAGGCTCCTCAGCGGGTGTTTCGCTAAACGGGGCAAACCTGTTTGACACGTGAATCGGAGGAGCGTGGTGTTCTGGTGGGCTAGCTTTGGCCTCAGCGTTAGCATTAGCCTTAGCTTTCCGGCTATGTCGCCGAGACGTCACCCATTCACCCCGCTGTGAGGGCTCTAACGCCGGAGTCGAGGGGGTGCTGACTCTCCCTAAGGCACCCAGGGCTGCTAGCGGTGAATCTCGCTGTCTGTCCCTTAATAAATCCCGGATGCGCACCTCTAGCTGGTCCACCTTTTCCACCAGGGAGCTAACTAGCTGGCACTTAGCACAAACACAGCCGCTATCATTATCGCTAGAGGTGGAAAAGGGGATTAAACTAAACATGCCACACTCTGAGCAGGCAAAGAAACCAGCAGTAGCCATGGTATTGCAGGAACTTACCGTTTTTGGTTGATTTAGGAACTTTAGCAGAAAGATAGCGCTGGAGCGGCGGGTCAGCAGTCTGTGCATCTGTGCGTCGTCACTTCCGGTTCCCGAAAACCGCACTGCTGCTGATCGCGGCCAGACGCCGATGTCTCTGATTGGTGGAGCTCTCTTTGGGACGAATGTGTAATGTATTTACACATTACGGGAGTAAAACCAAAGAACTTGTAGAGAGACTCTGCAGTGCCTTCTGAGTTTCTCAGACGCTACAGGGGGCGCTCCCGAGTGAGTCCAAAATGAAAGAGTTGATATGGAGCATTTGAGCAAAATCATAGTTTATAAATGCTGAAACATTTTAATTTGATCATTTCCTGAACACAGAGCAGCTTAAAACATTTTAACACTGCTGTTATATTTTAAGAGCTTTTAAACTCAAGTTATAGGAGTTTAAAATGACGCGTCGTGTACGTTCACGACGTCAGTGAGCACGAACAGCCAATGAGCTGCTCCGCTTGCCAATCAATCATCACTCACTAGCACTAAAGCCCGCCTCCTGCTGCCCAAAACCCGTTTGCTGTAGTAAAGGAACCATACAGGTGAGTTTTCTCTGCTTTTTTAGTGAAATCCATCCTTCCACTGTCTAAAATTAAAGGACAGTTCTGGTTCAGTGATTAGAAACTATTTTAACTTTTCATTTTTAGCCGTTTAGCTCCATTCACTCCCATTCATTGATATAACGGGGGGAATAGGAAGTGGCCAGACTCCTCATAAACCTGCTCTGGTAAAACACGATTTTTCGGAAATGAAGCTGAAACCGGACTGATTTGTGGCTTTAATTCAATCATATAAAATCATCTAAATCATCTAATTCCAATGGTGATTAAGGGATTTTTGCTTCCAGAACCAGACTGTTCAGCTCTATAACTTGACGTTTCAACAGTAACAGTGAATAAAACACTGTGTATGTATGATCTAATATCAGTTGTTTCCTTTTTCTGAACCTGTTTCCGGGGCAAAACCAAGGATAAGCGGATCTTTCTCTCCAGGGCTGGTGCTGTTTTAGAGTAATGCCCAGTCACTTTCTGCTCTTTAACCGCATCGAGTCACACTGAAGCGAGTATTAGTTCTAAAGCACAACGGCATTTATTTCGGTTCATGCAGTCAAGCTAAACTTAAGGTAAAGTAAGATGAACAGGAGAGGGAGGAGCTATTAGTCCCCTCTAGTTCTATCGGATATTTTTCCAACATGGCGATGATTAACTTTTACGTATAGTCCTATAGATAAATAATACACACAACAGATGGCTCACCTTACTCCACTGCGTTTTCAGGCCAGTTCATCATCTGTGAACACAGAAAGTGTTCAAATGTAGCTCAACATTTTACAAACCAATAGAGTAAGTACTTTTTTTAATCGCCCAAGACAATAAAAATGACCTGCCCTGTGATGCGTGGAGTTATTAGTCTTCTAACTTTTCATTGCTAGTCGACTTAGCTAGGAACAGCTAACAGCTAATTAGCTAGAAAATGTGCTACAGGAATTAATCTGTCAATACGAAAATATTAATGAACATTAACAAATATTAAATAGTATCTAATATTAGATCCCTATTAGAAACTGTTTACAGTAATCTAAAGTCATTTAACTTATGACATAACCATAATTAAACTCTCTTGAAAGGGGGAATTCCAGTGAAGGTGGGGTCTTATCTGTGTTTTCGTGCCAATGACACGTTATCAATGATATTTTTGTACAAGCAGTGATTAAATAACCTTTTCCAAAAAGGAATTATTATTTTACCAAATTTTATTAGAATAAAATACAGTATTGCAGTATTTGTTTCTTAATAATTTGGTGAGGACTTATAATATTACTGCGATTGCAGACAGGCTGAATCTCAAATGGCTCCTTACTCCCTGTATAGTGCACTATATCAGTTAAGAAATGTTGACTTCTTCTGTGTCCAGTAGGGAGCTATGCACACCTGCCTGAATCCCAACTGACTCTTTGTAAGATGTATGATGCACTGTTTGGTTTCAGGAGCACTAGTTATTTCAAGACCACTAGTGCACTATGCAGGCACCAGGAAGCCAATTGAGATTTATCCATAATCGGCACGAACCTGTAGTGCATGCTTGGACCGGATGAGCACGTACTGTATGGGAATCGGCCTGAGCTCCTTTTGCCAACTGCCAAGTGTAATCCGCAACTGGCCCGAGCCTATGAATACACACCTGGGCCGCGTCAATACATACGAGAGTCGGCCCGAGCCCCGTTTTCAAGCCCTTCGGTTGCTGAGCGTCACCCACACTCGGCCCAATTCAAGCTGGCCGATGATGAGCTGATGCTGCCACAGATCAGCCGAACTCGGGCTGAGTCTTTATGCTATCTGGGTCAGTGCTGAGCCTGAGGTCACTCAGAACGTGAACCAGTAGAGTTAGAACAAAAACCTGACTGAAATGATTTAGTATGGAAGCATCCATGTTGCTCTTTTTTAGTAAGTGCTCTGATTTATCACTGTTTCTCTCGTGCCAGAGTTTTTCCTCATTCATCTGCAGGTTTTTAGTATGAAAGTTTTACTTCCATTTGACTGGAGCAATAATGCGAATAGTTGCCTTAAATACTTCTTAATAATACTGCTTCTGCCTTCTGCTCCTAGTTCTCCACTCTTCCTATGCTTTCCTCATTTTCATCTATTTTACTTTTAATTTTAACTTTATCGCAGTGTGTCAACACTGACACTGTTTACTTTGTGCTTAATGTTTTTACTCTGGGCTGAGAATCGGAGACAGATCTCAGTTGCTCTCTCCTTCAGCCACTGCCTGGTGAGTTTGCTCAATGTAGCACAGCACCACTGGCTGTGTTAGCCTTGGACAATCCAGAGAGCTTCCTAAACTTACTAAAGTGGGGTCAGCTGCACCTCAGAATGGGGCAGGACTGAAAAAGAGCACTGACAGATCTGACTGATGGCTCGAGCAGGGGGCCAAACACAAAGCTATACACAGCGCAGCGCCGTCACAGGCTTCACACACTGCCCGGTAGCCTCCTCCACTCCAGTCACTGCTACAGTAGCTGGGTCAGTTAACACTAATGCTATTAAGCTACTGCTGCATCTGCGGCTGAGAACAGAAGCCACTGAGTGATGTAACAGAGGACCCCTCCAGTATTAACTAAGCCCCTGACACAGATGAAAACGAAGCTGGTCGTCCCACGGTGTGTACGAACAGAGAGTGGAACCGGAACTATAGCCGCTCGGCCCCAGCAGACGGAGAATCAGACTCTCAGGGACTAGCAGGCAGCGGCTCTCGGTGGTACCCCTGGCCCAGCAGAGAGCTCTGATTGTGCTGGACTCCATCATACAGAACGTAAGCAGCAGGGCTACAGTTACACACTGCCTTCCTGACACTACGGTCATCTGCAGTCAGCTTCCTGACATCGCAGTCAACCATCAGACAATCAGACCTATCATTGTGCATGCTGGAAGCACGACATCCGAAGGAACAGTTTGAGCTCCTGAAAAGGGATTTTTCTGAACAGTTTAACACACTTACAGACTAAACTTAGAATTTCTCAGTGGACCTCTTCCAGCTCGAGGCTCCAACTCATTCTCCTGTCTTTTATATCTCAACACTTGGCTCAGCATCACCTGCATCCAAAAGGGCTTAATTATATACAGAATTTTAACATCTTTTGGGGACGTAGAAAGTTGTTCAGACTAAATGGCCTCAATGTGAACAGGACTGCTGTGCGAGTGCTAACAGATCACCTTCTTTTCTCTCTTCATCACTCATCCACTCCCTGTGGTCTCGCTCCAAAATGCAACAAAGCAATGGAACCTGAGGATCGGCTGGACAGATATCAGCCTGACCGAGATCATTCTACTGTCACATCACATGATGACCCTCGGCAGGTTCACAATGATTCCTCACAGCCTGTTCCCGAGGACATGATTGACTCTGCACTTCGACCTGCAGGCACTCAGTGGGCTGATAGTAAAGAGTCAGACACCATCATCACCATCCAAGGACACGTGGTATCAGTCCCACGACAGGAGCACTGATGATGTCTCACCTCTGATGTCATCGCTGCTGGGGTTTTCAGAGAAAATGAAAGAACCGCTGTACGCAGGAAATAACCTGTTTTCCTAGTCGATAGCACTGAGACCCTCAGGTTTCTCTTAAGAAACAACGGGCACCTCCACCTCCTAAAAACTGCCCCCAGCTTGCCCACCTCGGCTATGCCCTCCCTCTGGTAGAGCACGGGCTGTTACCACAGCAAAAGCAATATCCGCATCCCTCACCTCTTCAGAAAGCAAACAGCACGGCATGTTCAGTCAACAAAGCTGATAATGGCAAAGTTTGATACGTCCAGGGTCTCCGCTGTAGTTGTGATAAAACTCATGAAGGTTTGTAAAACAAGCTGGGGCCCCTGGCGCCTGTAGCTGATTGGAAATGGAATCAACAGATCATTAAAGTCACTCTGTACGTCAGTCTACTCTGACAGCTGCTCTTCAACATAAATCTGATTTGAAGCCCAACATTATGAATCTGGCACTATTAAATATTAGATCACTTGAAAAACAAATCTTTTATACTTAATGATCTTATTACTTCACATGATCTAGACCTCATGTTTCTGAATGAAACCTGGCTGGATTATAGCAACAGTGCAGCTGTGCTTATAGAATGTAAACAGGTCCAATAGAATAGATGGGGGAATAGCAGCTATTTTTAAAGTGTATTTCAGTGTAAACAGCCGACCCTTGGACACTTCCTCTGTTTTGAATACCTCAGTACTGTGCTAAATGGTACACCATCGATTTTATCACTAACAATTTATAGGCCACCTAAGTACTGTACTGACTTTATTCATGAATTCACTGAGCTGCTAACAGTTATTTTAACTGACATTAATCATTTTCTTATCATTGGTGACTTTATTGTCCACCTGGATAACCTCATGGACAAAACTAGAACTTGTCGTGCTACTTGTGGCTACAGAATTCACTTTAAAGCGCTTCTGATTGTACATAAATCACTAAATGGCCTTGGACCAAAATACACTGCTGATCTCCTGGAAGTATATGAACCCAGTCGGCCTCTCCAGTCACTCAGGACCGGTCAGTTAGAAGAGCCCTGAATCAGAACTAAGCAGGGTGAGGCAGCGTTCAGTCACTATGCTGCCAACTGCTGGAACCAAATCCTAGATGAGGTCAGATGTGCTCCGAGCAAAGCCGTCTTCAAGTCCAGATCAAAGACGTTCTTTAAAAACAATGTTTTCTGTGCTTTTGTTTCACACTCCACCTTATTTTCTATGCATTTTGTTTCTTCTTCTGATGAACTATGTTTGCAAAAGCCTTTTTGAGGTGCTGGATCTCAGGGTGTGATAAGCTCCCATCCAGTCACTGCTTTTTATGATAGAAATGTCAGAAGCTGTTTTGTCATCTATTCTTTCAGTTTCATTGCACTTTATTTCATTGTCTTTTATTATTACAATCTCTTAAGCTCTTACTTCACTATGCTTTTATTTTTGCATCAAGCACTTTGAACTGCCACTGTGTATGAAAGGTGCTGTACAAATAAACTTGCCTTGCCTTAATCTACCATCTAGCAAGGTTTGACAGAGTTTCTTCAGTAATATGCAGGTAGTTGTCACAGCAGATGTAACAATGTTGGTGTAATGGCGGCTAATTAGAGTGCATTTAACGAACATTAGCATCTGATATGAGCCATCATGACTTTTTGATGGTACGGATGTATCAGTGTTAGCAGGTTAAAGTATTACTGACATAATTTCATCCAGAGTCAGCAGTGATTAGTGGAGCGAGTTCAGTGTTGAAAGTGTTAGTCTGATTACTCTATGATGTAAAATACAACCACAAAATCAGACTCAGGATTAAGATTAAAGATTTCTCTGTAAAGATTTCTCGCTCTATATTTCTCAGAAGGGTTTCTTTCAGCTGATGAACTTATTAGCATAATTTCAGTGATCGGCTAGAATTTACTTTGACAGCTGGATGGACTGAAAATATTCCCAGCATGCACTGTAATAAGCCAGGTGGTGATCAATCAGCACCCCACTGTGTTAAATTTAACAAGCCTAATGCTTTGTCCGACTGAGTGTTTATCAGTTACCCATAATTCCCTGCCACCTGGTGAATGGGAATGTTTCAGGTGATGTTCGATTCTGCACTTTGTTTTGTTTTTGCATTGATGTGTTTATCAATTTGATGTGTAGAGAAGAAAAAGTTGTGTTAATATTTCATATGGCTACTCAGAGAACTTTAAAGAGCTGCTGCTTTTTTGCCCCACAACCGCTAAACTCTCCTCTGACCTGGAATATCTAAAGCTGAAGTGCAGGCCGTCTCACTTCTCCAGGGAATGTGCCGTTGTTGTCAGGCAGTGTGAGGAATCTCCAAATAGAACAGAACACAGTGACATCTCAGAGTCACAGTTATCGCTCCAGAGTACGTATTTATTAAAAACTCTGGGTGGGGTAGAAGCTCCTGGCAGACACCCAGAGATCTCTGAAATCAGACCACAATTACAAGAAGTTCTGTCGTCTCCAAGTGGGTGATTTTACATTAACAGAGAACAGAGAAGTTACAATTCATTGTTTACACATAATTGTGATATGAACAAAGAAGACAGTGTTAATATTTATGCATAACTAATGAGCAGGAATGAAATTCATATTTGGTCAGCAAGTCTTCTCACATCTGGTCTCTTTGAGATGAGCTGTAACCTCAAGGCCACAATGATCCACTGTAGCTTCTATCAGCTCACCAGGCTTCTGTGGAGGAAAACAGGAGATTAGACCTGAACAGACTGTGAGGAGGAGCTGATTTGTTAGCTTTCTTTCAGCCAGAGAACAGTGACAGTCCACCCTAAATTCATGAGCAACATGCACAGCATATAAAGCAGACATATATCATGAGGACACATGCAGTGTGACTGGCTATATGAATTTCATATATTATGAGTGAAATTACTGGTTACATAACCACACACCACAGGCTAATGCTAAGCTAATGCTTGGATACACATATGCCACCATGAGTGTGCATGTGTGTGAGTCTATGTGTGTGTGTGTGTGTGTGTGTGTGTGTGAGTCTATGTGTGTGTGTGTGTATGTGTGTGTGAGTGTATGTGTGTGTGTGCGTGTGTGTGTGTGTGTGTGTGGGTGTGTGTGTGTTGATGGTTCATCCAGCTCCACCCAATGAGAGATAACCGCACACACACACACTGGAAACAGCACTAAGGTTACCAACCATTTTCCAGCAGCTCCACAAACCCTAAAACTCAGGACAGCAGGATGCTTAACAGTGAACAGTTACTGAAGACGGTTACAGTGGACAACTACTGAAGGCGGTTACAGTGGACGACTACTGAGGACGGTTACAGTGGACGACTACTGAGGACAGTTACTGTGGACGACTACTGAAGACGGTTACAGTGGACGACTACTGAAGGCTCTTACAGTGGACGACTACTGAAGGCTCTTACAGTGGACGACTACTGAGGACGGTTACAGTGGACTACGAGGCTACGTGACTGACGGTTACAGTGGACGACTACTGAAGACGGTTACAGTGGACGACTACTGAAGGCTCTTACAGTGGACGACTACTGAGGACGGTTACAGTGGACGACTACTGAGGACAGTTACTGTGGACGACTACTGAAGACGGTTACAGTGGACGACTACTGAAGGCTCTTACAGTGGACGACTACTGAAGACGGTTACAGTGGACAACTACTGAAGGCTCTTACAGTGGACGACTACTGAGGACGGTTACAGTGGACGACTACTGAGAATGGTTACAGTGGACGACTACTGAAGGCTCTTACAGTGGACGACTACTGAGGACGGTTACAGTGGATGACTACTGAGCACGGTTACAGTGGACGACTACTGAGGACGGTTACAGTGGACGACTACTGAAGACGGTTACAGTGGACAACTACTGAAGGCTCTTACAGTGGACGACTACTGAGGACGGTTACAGTGGACGACTACTGAGAATGGTTACAGTGGACGACTACTGAGGACGGTTACAGTGGACGACTACTGAGAATGGTTACAGTGGACGACTACTGAGGACGGTTACAGTGGACGACTACTGAGGATGGTTACAGTGGACGACTGCTGAGAATGGTTACGGTGGACGACTACTGAGAATGGTTACAGTGGACGACTACTGAGGACGGTTACAGTGGACGACTACTGAGGACGGTTACAGTGGACGACTACTGAAGACGGTTACTGGGAATAGTTACAGAGGAGTTTACTGTGGTAACTGTCCCCTGGATGGTTCCAGTACACAGATACTGATGAAGCTGTGGTCAGTCGTCCATCAATTCCCAAAATCTCCCAAAATGCTGCTGACTGTGGGCAGCCTTTTGACTGTTTACATCATGATGATTCCCTTTCTCAGCAAGTGAGTCAATTATATATTATATATACAAATATATAAGATATTAGATCATGTGGAGATTTTACAGTGTAGAATGAGGAAGTAATAGAGTGTAGATACTATAATGCAGACATATTAGAAAGTGTGGAGTTATTAGAGTGTAGAGATATTAGACTGTAGAGAAATTAGAGTGTAGAAATATTAAAAATCTGCAGTTAGCTACTTTCTCAAACTTTGTAGCTGCTACAAATGAGCTACTTTTCCAGAAAAAGTAGTGGCTACTTTTTAGCTACTTTCAGAGCGTGATTGTCAGAATGTTTGTGAATCTCCACCTGACACACCAAACAAGCCCAACTGACTGTGTGAACAAGACACTGCATTTAATCATGAGCCAGAAAGAAACTCACAGTTGAAAAGCTGCAAATCTACAAAAAGATCAGCAAAAAGTAAGTTTGTAGAAGTGTAACCAACAATCAAACTTACACAGCCAAAGGCGTGATATCCAACTAAAATGTAGACTAACTAAAGGCAAAGTCAGTAATTACAGGTTTTTCCTAACAAAAATCTACAAAAATAACCGAATACAATATTTAACTCTTTATTTATGTTTATTTTCAGCTAAAATTATACACTAAACCTACATTAAATCAGGCGATAGTTTCAAATGGACTTTGTTTTATTTACCTCTCTCTCTCTCTCTCTCTCTCTCTCTCTCTGCTTGTCTCTTTTGCGTCTCTGTACTCACTGATTATTGTAAAAGCACATGTTATAACAGGCTGTCTGTACCAAAGCCCAGCTAGAGGAAAAGGTGGCTACTCATATAGTTAATGAGACAAAATATAGTCTAATATAGCTGATTTCTTAATGTTTGCTGCATGATACTATACCTTCAATATGCTGGTTAACAGTGAACAGTGCTCTGTAGTCTGTTATGAGTAACACAATATAACTGTAATTTCACATCTAATCTCTAATATAGCCGACTGTGGAGCCTGTAGCCTAAACTGAGCAGCTACTGGAGCCAGACTAAAGCAGCTGATTTGGCAGCCCAAGCAAAAAAATGAGATAGTGTTTTCATTTTACAGTCTTAATGCGTTGATTGTGCTCATAAACTCAGCTAGCTACATTTTTGCCATAGCGATGTTGTGTGTTAGCTTATAGCCTGTGTGCTGCAGACCTGAACAGCTCAAGAGGTCAAAGCTACTCTGGTTCTCTGGGCTGTTTAGCGTCTCGTACAGAGACAAACAGAGCGGGCAGTTCAGTCTATGGCCGAGCTACAGCTGTACTAAGGTCAGCTGAGAACCTCCCACTGCTCGCTGTGTCATTTTATCGCTTTATCACCTGTAAGGGGTGATCAGCGCGTGGGGGCAGCACGTGACCGTTCGCTCGAGCTGTCCGCGGCTCAGTCATTACTGCACAGTCGCCACCAGCCCAGTTACCGACCGCGCTCTGTGGGTCAGATTTTGCACGGGTTGCCTGAAGTCTGTAGCGAAATTTATCACTATAGCTACACAATAATTCATAGGCGCTACAGCTGTTAGCTACATTTCATACAACTGTAGTGGCTAACTACAAAAAGTAGCGCTACTTAGCTACTCCCCCATCCCTGGTCTAAAGACATTAAATATTAAGACATATTAGAGAGTACAGAGATAAAACACTGGAGATATATTAGAGACAGTAGAGATATTAGAGTGTGCAGATATTAAAGTGTGAAGTTATTAGTGTGTAGAGATATTAGTGTGTAGATATTAGAGTACAATGTCTGTACTGAACTACATTAACTCTAATATGTAAAGAATGTAAAGGAGCTTTAATGAGCCCGTAAAACTGAACAAAGCTCTTACTTTCCTACATTAGCTGATCACTAAAACAGATTTTCTCCAGAAGACTGAGCTCTCAGCTGCAGGTCACTGTGAGATTCACATTAATTTATTCAAATTTACTCTAATGACCTCATATCAAACCCACACTGACCGATACATCAGAGCTGCTGCTGAAATAATATCTGACTAAACTATAGCAGTGTTATTCCTACAGGCTGTGTTTATAGTCTCTGTTTTCAGTCCAGTTTTGTTCATATATTGGTTTCTTATTAACAGAGCTTGACCCGCCTGATTTTAGATCATATCAACCCTTTTCCTTCCCCTTTACAGTCAACTACACCATTAGTATCTATAATAATACTGCAGTATTAAGTACAGTTACTGTATACGATACCAGGTTGGGCCAAAACACTGACATTATGAAAGTGTTTTGTAAATATGATATAAAGACCAAATGAGTCAGAAATGATTTAGTAACAGCACTTTTAAATATGTTTTATTTATTGTTTCTGTGTTGATATACAAACTAATGCAAACATGTTTCTATGTACGCTATTCAGAATTCTTGAGTGTGGATTATGATAATACAGATTATCATTATAAACACATGAATACAGTCTAATCTGGAAACATCGCTGATGAAACTAAAGGAAGATTTTCTTAAACTTGCATTTTAATGCAAATTTATTTTAGTTTTCCGATAAATAAACTTTCACTGTTATATAACAATTTATCAGAGATTTAAACACTAATTTGCAGCCTATAATATTTCAGAAATATGTTAATTGTTTGCTAATATTGGCAGAGACTTCCCTGTGAACACTCACTTCACCTTTAACAAACATTGTTCTAAATATGTTATTAAAGTAAACTTTAAATGTAAGTGAATAGATTAATGATGAACAACTGAACTTTAAGTGGAATACAATAGAATCGAACTCTAAAACCAAATCCTAATCCTAACACTAATCATAACTGTTTACAGTGAAAGAATCTGAACAGAGATTATTAATAATCTGCGTCTCTGTAGATCGTCTGCAGGGACTGAACTAAACCACAAACCACTACAAACACGCTAAACCTGTCCGTATTTAATCGTCTCTAATGATTGTGTGTAAATATGATTTCCAGAGTGTATCCAGCCAATCAGATGCAGGAGTTTTATCACAGAGTGCACTGTTCCCGCCTCCAGGCCAAGATCTCCAACATGAGCACCACTAAAAAGTGAGCTGTTCATCCGTTACTGAAGATGTTCTGGATCGACTGCTGCCGACTCAGAACTGATCAGGATCATATTCATTTTCTATTCAGGAACATTTTCCTCTTTAAAGCTCTCCAAACGGAAGATCTGTAGTCGGTCAGAACGACTGTACTGAGTGCAGTGTTACGGTTTTACAGTCTTACAGAGGAACCAGAGGCAGTTCCACTGGATTATTCACTAAAACCTGATTTCACTTCTGTTTGATTTGATTAGAAAACAGAAAGACAGAAAACACAGAAATTAAAGCTACAGATATCATAACTGCTGTATTTAATGCACAACACAATAACTGTATAGAATACAGCACAATTATAGAACCACTGTAATATTACAACACAATAACTGTATATAATGTTGCTCTATTACTATAGACAATGCGTAATTGTTTACAATACTGCAGTGTTATTATAGGTAATGCTGTAACTGTGTATGATACTGTTGTATTATTTTAGAAGATGCCATAATCGTATTTAGTACAGCAGTACTGTAATTATCTATTATAATATATAATATAGTGCTTTTAATCAAATTTAAAATACATTGTTTATTACTGTTTTTGCTCATTGTTTTCAGGATGGACATGCAGGTGTTTTGTGCTGATGTAACTGATCTCTTCACCTGTTCAGCCAAACCCAACATCACTCTGAGGGAAACTTACAGGTACAGTGTGAGTTTGTGTGTGTGTGTGTGTGTGTGTGTGTGTGTAATGGTCTCTCGTAGCATTTAGCATATTAGCTATTGGTAAAAAGGAGTATGGTCAGTAAGCACTGCGGGATCTTTTTAGTGTAAAATAAACAGCTCAGAGAAACTCCAGACTCACTGAGCTCCCCTGACTGTAGACACAAACCACACACAGAGGCTGACACAACAAACACCAGCACAGATAAACACACAACACTGACTGTAACTAAACCAACTAGTACAGTTACCAGGAGAACAGGCCCTGTATGCAAATGAGAAGCACACTAAACACACACTGTAAAAAAAACGTGAAATTTACGGTAAAATACCGGCAGCTGTGGTTGCCAGAATTTCATGACATGCCGGTATGCTTTTGTGGCAACCGTAAATTACACTGTTGAGAACTGTTGTTTGTTTATGGTTAATTACTGTGAAAAACAGCATATATTGTAAATCTGTATACAGTAAATTACATTAAAAACAACAGATATACTGTTAACATAATTACAGTCTATCAGTGATAAACACAGTACAACCGTATGACACATTACAGTATCTAACTGCAAAGTTCAACTTTACAGTAAATTACCAGCAGCTGTGGTTGCCAGAATTTCACTGCAAAATATACACTGCAACACATAAGGAATTACAATTAGTGGGCATAGATTTAACAGTCAATAACTGCTAAATGATTAATTACCCAGGAAACAAAAATAACACAAATAATACATAAATAACAAAGTTACAGACTATTATTTTGATAAATCTTAAGAAAGTTTTCTTGCATGATCCAATAACTTGGCCAGGATTCTCAGAAAGCAGGGTTGAGATGTTGAGAAAACAGCATGTGTCCATATATACACAGGATAATCCGTGGTGGAATGAATAAACATAAAATAAACAAACATAAATAAAATGGCCACTTGCCCTGGTTGATCAAGAATAATGAGTCACTGAGTCCAGACTTGACCGAAGAGGGTGCTCAACATGGGATAGAGTCTCACACGGACATGATGTTGGATGACGACTGGGACTTAAAGTGTGCACTGTCGCCAGTTCTGCATGAGGACTCGCATGTTGACCATCAGGTGTTCACTACAGACCGGCATGACCCTCTCTGTAACCAGAAAACAGAAACAAAGCAAAAGTTAGATTGATGCAGCGCTTGAGCGTGATGACTCCTCAAAGATAAACACAAGGCCTTCTGTTGTTAAACTGAGCTCCAAAGTACATACAGGAGAAACCCGAATTCTGGAATACAGAGTTGCCGGTCATGTTTATAACTGATAAAGTTTGGGTGTGAAAGGTAGAAAAGGACACATTTCAACACTGAACCATCATCAGCATTTGTTTCATCTCTGTCGACTTGTAGCTTAAATGTGCAGATGCCTCCAGTCAATCAGACACCTTAGTAACCAAATAATCCACTGGAATGACCACCTGGCACTATCTGGTGACCATCTAGTTCAAATTACCAACAATCTAGAAACACCCCAGCAGCCAAATGTTACATCTTAGTATACACGTATAGATTTCTCTTGTTCGCTCAACGTGCCCTGCAATGGACTGGTGACCTGTCCAGGGTGTATCCGGCCTTCCACCCAATGACTGCTGGGATAGGCTCCAGCGCCCCCCCGTGACCCAGAAGGATAAGCGGCTTAGAAGATATTAGGTACAACTTAGTCTCAAGCAAAGCAGAGAACAAGTAAAGCACAGGTGAACACAGCTGATCAATCAATAATCTGCCACCGTTCTAAGAAAGTAATATGTATTATCATATATTTAAACCACTACAACCACTACATACTGCATCATATCTAGACAAGTCAACAATTCTTAAAACCGTGTTCACAGGTAAGCATAAATGAACTGATTACACCAGAAATCCTTGAGAAACAACTGCATTAACTGCCTAAACAAAGTATGTAAATCTTGCACACAATTCAGACAAATTGAGTGGAATAGCAGGTACTTATGTAAATAAACAGTTAACAAACCTGAGAAATGCCGGTAGTAGATGTAGGAAACGTGTAAGTAACTGCAAGACGAAAAGATGTGGTTAAGCCTTAAAATACTGACTTAAGGAGAAGAAAGAACAGATTTTACAAACTTTAGCCTGACATAGGACAGTTAACTCACATGTAAAACCACTTGAGAGTTAGTTAACAAATCGCAGCTCAGTTGACCTGATTAACCTAACGGGACTGTCTTAACTGTACCAGTCGCTCGACGTCCCTCCCTCCGATGTCAAGTCAAGTCAAATTTATTTGTATAGCACTTTTTACAACTGATGTCACAAAGCAGCTTCACAGAAATCCATTTAGGACAAAGTTCAAATCAAATCAAATCAAATCAAATCAGATTTATTGTCACATCACAAGAGTACAGGGACACAGGTGAGTGAAAAACTTGAGTGCGAGTTCCACAAATTATGCAGAGAACAGTATTTACACATAGATAAACAAAACTATAGATAGGATAGAAGAATAGATAAAACCAATTTAACTAAAATATATACATATAATCTTACACAATAACTTAAAAATAATAATATTGCACCGAGACATATAATATTGCACTGGGAATGTAGGGTGGGTGTAATCAACTATATACTATATATAGTAATGGATATTACAATGCTATGTGGATGTGCAAATAATCACACTAGGTGTGGAGGTAGAAGATGGTACAGTAGGTGGCAGAGTATTTAGTAAAGTGCAAGGTACAGGAAGTTAAGTGGAAGCGCAGGGGGAGAGTATTGTCTTTGGATAGGTATTCAAAGTCCAGCTATGCAAGTAAAGTGCGGGAGTACAGTGGGTGCACGTACGTGTAATGGGAAGGGTTGGGCTGGGCAGAGCAGTGATTACTGGCTGTTCAATAGCCTGGTTGCATGGGGGAAGAAGCTGTCTTTGAGCCGACTGGTTCTGGCTTTTAAGCTTCTGAGCCTCCTACCACTCGGCAGCTGAGAGAACAGACAGTGACTAGGATGGGAGGGGTCCTTCATAATCCTTCTGGATTTCCTCAGGCAGCGACTGGTGTATAAATCCAATAGGTTAGGGAGCTGAACCCCGGTGATGGACTGTGCTGTCCGCACCACCCTCTGCAGAGATTTCCTCTCACGAACAGTACAGTTCCCGTACCAGGTGGTGATGCTGCCCGTCAGGATGCTTTCCACAGTGCAGGTGTAGAAGGTCTTAAGGATGCTGGGGTTCAGGCCAAACCTCCTCAGCCTTCTGAGGAAGTAGAGGCGCTGGTGGGCCTTCTTCACCACCTGTGAGGTGTGCACTGCCCATGTCAGGTCCTCGCTGATGTGAACACCGAGAAACTTAAAGCTGCTGACCCTCTCTACCGCAGTCCCATTGATGGAAATCGATGGGTGTACTCTCTCCTGCTTCCTGAAGTCCACGATCAGCTCCTTGGTCTTACTAACGTTTAGAGAGAGGTTATTCTCCTGGCACCAGTTTTCCAGGATTTTAACCTCCTCTCTGTAGGCCGATTCATCGCTGTTGGAGATCAGGCCCACAACTGTTGTGTCGTCAGCAAACTTTATGATGACGTTGGAGCTGTGTCTAGCAGTGCAGTCATGGGTGTACAGGGAGTACAGGAGCGGGCTGAGCACACAACCCTGGGGGGTTCCGATGTTGAGGGTCAAAGAGGAGGATGTGATACTTCCCATCCTTACCACCTGCCGTCGGTCCGTCAGGAAGTTCAGGATCCAGCTGCACAGTGTGCTGTTCAGACCCAGATCCCGGAGCTTGCAGTCGAGCCTCGAAGGAACGATTGTGTTGAATGCTGAACTGTAGTCTACAAACAGCATTCTCACATACGTGTCCTTCTTTTCCAGGTGGGAGAGGGCAGTGTGCAGGGTCAGGGCGATTGCATCGTCGGTGGATCTATTCCGCCTATATGCAAATTGCAGTGGGTCCAGGGTGGCAGGCAGTGAGGAACAGATGATATCCCTGACCAGCCTCTCAAAGCATTTGCTTACGATGGAGGTCAGGGCAACAGGTCGCCAGTCGTTCAGACAGGTAATACTAGCTGTCTTTGGAACTGGCACAATGGTGGCTAGTTTGAAACTAGCTGGCACGACCGAGAGAGACAGTGAGGTGTTATAGATGTCTGCAAAAACTCCTGCTAGTTCCCTGTAGCAGGCTTTAAGCACTCTCCCGGGAATGCCATCTGGTCCTGCTGACTTGCGTGGGTTCACCCTCTTGAAGGCTTTGCACACATCAGCTACGGAGACGGAGGGGGGGTTGGGATCAGTTGTGGGCGGGGCGCTCTCCAGTGGTGCTGCGGGAATTCCGTCGAAGCGAGCGTAGAAGTTATTAAGCTCGTCCGGCAGATCAGCGCTGGTACTGGGCAGAGTGCGAGAGGCAGTTTTATAGTCAGAGATTGTATTTAACCCCTGCCATAAGATTCGTGTGTTGGCTGTGTTGAACTGTGCTTCCACTTTCATTCTGTACGCACGTTTAGCTGCTCTGATGGATTTACGGAGAGCGTAGTTGGATTGCTTGTACTCCTCCGTATTTCCCGCTCTGAATGCAGCGCTGCGTGCGCTGAGGGCGGAGCGAACCTCACAGTTCAGCCAGGGCTTCTGATTGGGGTAAACGCGGACTTGTCTGCAGGGCACTACGTCATCCACACACTTGCGTATGAAGGCGGTGACTGTGTCTGCGTACTCATCCACGCTGCCCGACGAATCACGGAACATTTCCCAGTCCACATGATCAAAACAATCCTGCAGCATAGCGTCTGATTGGTCAGACCAGCGGCGCACCTCCCTGGTAGTGACCGGCCCCCGTTTCAGCTTCTGCCTATAGGTGGGCAGGAGCAGGATGGAGGAGTGATCTGATTTGCCGAACGGGGGTCGGGGGAGGGATTTGTAACAGTTCCGGATGCTGGAGTAAACATGGTCTAAAATCCTGTCTTTCCGAGTGAAACATGTTACGTGCTGGAATAATGTCGGACAGTAGGTTTGCAGGTTATTCCAATTAAAGTCCCCCGCAACAATAAGTGCAGCCTCCGGGCGCGCGGTCATCTGCTTGCTGATAGCCTCGTGTAGCTTCCCGAGCGCGAGGTCCGAGTCCGCCTGCGGGGGGATGTACACCGCGGCCAGACAGAGTCCCATTATCTCACGGGGCAGCCACGCCGGCCGGCAAAACACGATGAGAAATTCCAAATCCGGCGAGCAGAAAGACTCGATGAAATGTACATTCCTCCGATCACACCAAGCGTTATTGATCAGAAAACATACACCTCCTCCTTTGCTTTTCCCGGAGAGCTGCTTGGTTCTATCGGCGCGGTGCAGAGAGAACCCAGCGGGTTCGATGGCATTATCAGGGACCTCATCGGATAACCACGTTTCTGTGAGGCAGATAACGCTGCAGTCCCGGATCTCTCGCTGGAAGGCGACCCGTGCATGAAGCTCACACAACTTGTTTTCCAAGGACTGCACGTTAGCCAGTAATATGGTGGGAAGAGACGGCCGATGGGCACGTCGTCTGAGTCTGACGAGCACGCCGGCTCTCTTGCCTCTTTTCCGGCGTCTTCGACGGGTGCGTGGCCGGGCGGCCCAGATGAGTGGCGCCTCTCCAGTGTTAGCAAACAAAGGATCGGCGTTATGGAACTCAAAGTCCGGTTTCCGGCGAGTGATCATTTCAACATTTCAACATGAAATGTAAATCCTCCAGGTGAGCAAGCCAGGAAAAACTCCCTCAGAGCTGAGGAAGAAACCTTGGGAGGAACCAAGGCTCACATGGGGGGACCCGTCCTCCTCTGGTCAAACTACCTACAAAATTATTATACTACTAACATTAATAGTAGTAGTAGTAGTAGTTAGGAGTCCATGAAAACTTCAGTGCAGAGTGGGAGTGTGCAGCTTGTCCAAGTCAAGTGGCAGTAGCTGGGCAAGTGGCGGTGACTGGGGCGTGGGCAACTGGTATGAAGCGGATAGCAGGAGAGCTCGACAGACAATCATCCATCAGTGTCCGTCCAGCAGGTGGGCAGTTGTTTACTCGGAAAAAGGTAGGGAGATGGATGCTGTTTTTATTCTCCAAACTCTGTGAGAGAAACATCAAATCTGCTCTGTGGTGTGTGAGCCCACCAAGCTAACAGCCCCCCACATCACAGAGCGTAGTTAGCCAGCTAGTTTCTGCTTCTCTGTCACTACAACACCAGAGTCACTCGACGTCTCCCATTTGTCTCACATTCAGCCCGTATTCATCATTGGTCAGCACAGGTCAGCCGGAGTGAACCGGTCGCCCAGCAGAGATATTAACTTAGCCTAAGCTCGCGCGTACATAGCTATGCTAGGGCACTTAGCTAGCTAGCAACTCTAATAAGTGTACACACCGGTTTATTACACCAGAAATCCGACACCGTCCCACTTAAACATGCCCAGATTTCTGAGAGAGCAATCATCTAAAATAGAGACTACCAACATTTTATATGATGGCTAGCTAACTTAACTGTTAGTAAGTGGTGCTTATTTCTGTTTTGACATATGGAAAGTTGAGCATTTACAAATTCTAGGATTAGGTTTGAATAAATATCCGATTGAAAAACTAAGTTATTGGTTTATTTGACGAAGCAGTAATTTACTCACCAAACATGTTTGGAATCCTTCCGAGGTTTCCAGAAGCAGCTCTAGGTGCACTGTTCCCGCCTCTGCGGTGAAACGTTGGTGACGGCTCGGACCTCAATAGGGGTGTGATCTGCTCTCCTAATTACAGGTGGAAAATCCTGTATTTTTTCACCGACACATTAATCACAGAGCCTCTCCAGTATCCGTGCCCGGGCCGATTCTGATGTGCCAGTGCCGACTCATAGCAGCCGAATAGCATATTCTGTAGCCGATATGTAGTTTTTATTTTCTCCGTTATGTAGCGCCGTTTTAATAGAGAATCAGATACGCTACTGAGTTCACCCAACAACAGCTGCCCCGCCCAAGTACTTGAGCGCGCATCCCGTAAAACGTTTCATTGACTTTAAATAGTTCGGGCATCTGCCTGCAGTGAGACGCACTGACACGGTAAAGGCTGATGAGTGATTAAATCATCATGACAAGCTGGACCAGCTGTTTTTTATTTGCCTAACATTTAGCAACTTAGATTTTTTTAGTTACCACCTAAGATCATCTTACCAACAATCATAGCAACCACTTTAAAATACCCTAGCAACCATCTAAAACAACCTTACACCCACCTAATCAACACTGGCTACCACAAATGACTGCTAGCATTGCTGCACAGTATTCGCTTGACTTTCTTCCAGAAATGCATCTTTCTAGTTGTTTTAGTTTTCCATGCATGTAGCACATTACGTGTCAGATTTACAAGAACATTGCATAAAATGACAGTAAATTATTATATATATTTAAATATATCTTTTTCCTTGAAATAAACATTATTTAACAAACATATACCATATTTCAACATCTTGTTTCTGTAGAAATGATGGTATGATTTTGCTGAATAGTGAAAGGTTTTATATTGTAAATGTAACAACAAATTCTGTAATTTAAACAAAATTACAGCATTAATTTTAAGGTAATTACTTGCTTATGACATTATGGTATGTTTCCATTAATTTTACCAAAAAATTGTATTTTCACAGTTGAATTGTGTATTTTCTACACAGTACAGCAATAAAAATTAAAGTTATTTACGGTTTCTTGATTTGGGGTAATTCAATGTATCTTTTACAGTGAAATACTGTTTTGGATTTTATAGTCTTTTACTGTTGCTATTTGATAGTTTTTACCGTACTTTCTACAAACATTTTTTACAGTGCAGGCTGTGTGAGCTGGCAGTGTAAATGAACTGAGTAACTGAGACTCTTTAACTGTGTTCAACACTAACAGCACTACTTTACTGAAAATTTCTGAAAAAGTTCTCAGATGTAAATATGTAGAAGATGCAGCACAAAATCTGAAAATCTGCCGTATGACGTGATGCGGCTGCAGTGAGAGCACACAGTCCATGATCCTCAAACTCTGTTTTCTACAATGTTTTGGTGGAAAAGAACTTTTATTTATTGTACGATAAGCTGCTGTTGTAGTAAGTGGAGTGTTAAATTCAGTGAAATATTCTGAGCTTCCTGCAGTCAGAAGCGAATGAACATGTACAGTCTATATGTGTCATCACGCAGCACATCTTAGCCTGAGGCCTGCAGTACATGGTACGGAGACATTCCTGAAAACAAGTATCGAAACAAGAAGTAACGGCTGACCATTTAAGTGTTCCTAATCAAATCATATTTCACTCAGTGGACACAAGTTACATCGAGAAATGAGTCCACTTAACCTAGAACTAAAACTAGTCCTGATGTTTTAGTTCATATGAAATTCTCCACTCGATCAACTTTTACAAAGACAAACCCTTAAAAAAATCAGAGCTTCAGTCTATTAATGACCCAATATCTCTCTATCACTCTCTCTCTGTCTGTGTCTGTGTCTCTCTCTCTCTCTCTCTCTCTGGTAGAGTGCGGTTGAGTTCCTGCTGTAATGCGTCCGGTTCTCTGTTCCTGACCCAGAAGAACTCTCAGGTTAATCAGAGCGTTCCATATGAAACCAGACCAAACGCCAAATACAAACTCAGACCTGATGTGTACAGGAAGCTGCCTCAGGTACGGCTCAGTCAGGACTTCAGTCCAGCTTCACCGCTGATGACCAGAGGTGTGTTTGATCAGGCAGGACACTGACGTCATCTCATGTCCTCTAGTAGCTGTGATATCATTGTGGAGTTCCCCAGGGTTACGTTTTGGGTTCTATCAGTGTATGTCACCTCTGTGATCTGTAATCAGAGATGATGGGACTGATTGTCACTGTTAATCAGGTCTCTTAATCATAATCTCCTGATGATTCAGATGAACTCTGACAGGTTAACTGAGTATGTTAATGCCTGGGTGACTCTGTCCTGCTGATTGTCCAGAGTGACAAACTTTACCATTTAAAACCTTTTACAAGCATTTCTATGCCTGTTGTTGAAAATCTTTGTCTGTTTTAGATCCAGATTTATAATGCTGAAATCTATATTGTAGTGTATTCAAGATACGATGTTAATTCCAGATTACAACCCCATTTCCAAAAAAGTTGGGATGTTGTGCAAAATGTAATAAAAACAAAATGCAATATTGGGCAAATCATTTAAACCCCATATTTCATTGAAAATAGCACAAAAAAACATATAAAATTTTGAAACCGAATTTTTTTGTTTTTTGAAAAATTTGAATTTTGAATTTGATGCCAACAACATGTTCCAAAAAAGCTGGGATGGGGCCAACAAAAGGCTGGTAAAGTTGAGTAATGCTGGAAACAAAACAAAAAAAACACCTGGCGTTTAACTGGCAACAGGCCAGTAACAATATCGCGTATAAAAAGAGCATCTCAGAGAGGCGGAGTCTTTCAGAAGTAAAGATGAGGAGGGGTTCACCACTCTGTAAAAGACTGTACAATCAAATAGTGCAACAATTCAAGAATAACGTTTCTCAACATAAAATAGCAAAGAACTTTTCATCATCTATGGTACAAAATAACATTAAAAGACTGGAGAAATCTCTGTATGTAAGGGACGAGGCCAAAAACCAGTATTTGCTGGCTGTGATCTTTGGGTCCTCAGGCAGCACTGCATTATAAACAGACATGATTCTGTAGTGGAAATCACTGCATGGGCTCAGAAACACTTCTGAAAACCACTGTCTGAACACAGTTCATCACTGCATCCACAAATGAGAGTTAAAACTCTGAAACACAAAGAAGAAACTGAGCATAAACAGGATCCAGAAACGCTGCCACCTTCTCTGGGCTGGAGCCCATTTAAAATGGACTGAGGGGAAGTGGAAAAGTGTCCTGTGGTCTGACGAATCAACATTTGAAATTCTTTTTGGAAATCATGGACACTGTGTCCTCTGGGCTAAAGACCACTCAGTTTGTTATCAGTGCACAATTCAAAAGCCAGTATTCATGATGGTATAGGGGGGCATTAGAGCACATGGTATGGGTGACATGCACATCTGTGAAGGCACCATTAATGCTGAATGATATATACATGTTTTGGCAACATATGCTGCCATCCAGACGAAGTCTTTTTCAGGGAAGGCCTTGATTATTTCAGCAAGACCATGTAAAACCACATTCTGCATGTATTACAACAGCATGGCTCCATATTAAAAGAGTCCAGGTGCTAAACTGACCAGCCTGTAGTCCAGACCTGTCACCATTGAACATTTGGTGCATTATGAAATAAAAAATAAGACAAAGGAGACCCTGAACTGTTAAACTACAGCAGTATCTCCTCAGTTCCCAAACGCTTACAGAGTGCTGTTAAAAGAGGAGGTGATGAAACACAGTGGTAAACAGGCCCCCGTCTCAACTTTTTTGGAATGTGCTGTTGGCATTAAATTCAAAATGGACATTTTTCAAAAAACAAATTTCAGTTTCAACATTTGATATGTTGTTTTTGTACTATTTTCAATTTAATGTAGAATTTACATGACATCATGGCATTCTATTTTTATTTACATTCTGCAGCATTCCAACTTTTATGGAAATGGGGTTGGATTTGATCTCTGTTTATTCTCTGGGTTTATTCTGATGAGGACTCTTATTATAAAGGCAAGGCTAGTGTGTCAGAACAGGAAGATCTGGTCAGTTGAAAGGTGTAAGCGAGAGAGTGCAGTCGTGAGCTTGAGTGTTAGGTCAGCTTGGCTTTCTGTACAGAGTGGCTGTTGCTGAATACAGCCTTTAATAAATGACTTGTGCTTAACTGTGTCTCTTTAATGCTACAGTAAGAAAGTCACCAGAACTGCCTTTTACCATCTCAGAAACACTGAGTTCAACTGCTCTTCATTCTAGCATATAAAACCATGAATAAGCTTCTCAGTAGTAGTAGTAATAAGTTACAGTTGATCCAAAATTCTGCTGCACATGTTCTCTCCAAGACCAGAGAGATAACACAGTCCTGTTCTGAAGACTTTACTCTGGATCAATTTTAAGAAACTGCTATTGTATTTTTAATCTCTTGGTATATGGTTTATAATGTAAAAGTCTTCAGTCAGAGGATATAAATCCAGGATAATCTGGTAATGGAGGTGTTCATCTTAAACTGTTTATTCAAACAGTCATGTGTGTGTGTGTGTAGGACATGCCCTGGAAGGGGCGCTCTCTGGGCCGTTGTGCTGTGGTGGGCAGTGGTGGGATTCTACTCAACAGTAGCTGTGGAAGAGAAATCGACAGTGCAGATTTTGTCATCAGGTAAAACCCATCATTGTGTAAAACCCCTCATCACTTAAAAATATTCATCAAGTAAAAATCACCATCGGTAAATCTCATCATCTATAAAACAAGACATTGAGTAAAACCCGTCACCAACACTGTGTATTAATATCTACCACAATAAATAAGTGAGTATGGCATGCGCCCGTCCCCCAGGCCCTGATAACGGCCGCGAGAGCCGGCAGGAAGACGAAGCCCGGTGAGGACAGTGGGGAGAGGAGAACCATGAGTTCACTGTGTTCACTCACATCCCTCGGCGGTGTTCAGGATTCATGCGCCATCCTCGCCAGGCTTCATCCTCACTCGGAGTTTGGGCCCTGCCTTTCTGCTGGCTCTCACGGCCGTTAAAAATATCTATAAAAAGTGGGAACAAAAAATAATACTGTAAAGTCTATTTTTAGATGGTTAACTAAAGCACTGTCCACACGGAATTAAAATACTGAGAGTCTCTACATTTTCTGTTTGAAATGAAATAACTGTTATTATCAGCACCAAAACTATGTAATGGATGTGGAAGAAGGTTTCTTATTTCACATAAAATTCTTCTCTACTTTTGTCTATTCTTTTGGTAAATGTCCTTTATTTAATTATTACCGATCACGGTTTTGATGCTCTGTGCCTCACAGAAACATGGATTAGACAATGAATACTTTAGTCTAAATGAAGCCCCCCACAGGCTACAGCTATGCACACAGCCCTCGTTTAAGCAGCTGGGTAGAGGTATAGCAACCATCCATACTAAAGCTTTAGGCGTGAGCCGGAAGGTAGGCTATACATTCTCTTCCTTTGAAGTTCTTTTTCTTAATATAAGTGATCAAGGAACAAATAAGAATTCCTTTCCACTAATTACAATTTACAGGCCACCAGGGCCGAATTCTCAGTTCTTACAGGAATTCTGAGTTTCTATCAAGTTTAATAACGTTTTCGAAAAAAAAAATAGTTGTTGGAGATTTTAATATCCACTTTGATAAACCAAGATGCACTAAGTAAGGCATTTATATCTATTATAGACTCCATAGGTTTCACCCAAATCATAAAGGGGCCCACACACTACCACAACCACACTCTAGACTTAATACTGACCTTTAGTATAAACATAGATAAGCCATTCTCCCCCAGAGCACCGCAGTCTCAGATCGTTACCTAATGAAATTCACTTTAGTGGTAATGTGCGTTCATCACCATGTTATCATGTAAAGCGGACAATAACTCCCTCCACAGCTGGTAGCTTTATCAGCTTCTGTCAGCTGTCCATCTAATCCTACTGAGCTAGATATTATGACCAAGCTCTTAGAGGATCATTTTTGATCTACTCTAGATAGTGTGGCTCCATTAAAAAGTAAAATAGTAAGGCAGAAAAACTCGCCCCCTGATATAATGACCACACTCGGGCTATAAAACAGACCGCCAGACAACTTGAGTGAAAATGGCACCTGACTAAGCTAGAACTGTTCCAGTCCGCTTGGAAGGAGAGCCTTATAGATTATAGACGAGCACTTACTGCAGCACGCTCAGCCTCTCTCTCCTCTCTCATAGAAAACAATAAGAATAATCCTAGATTATTATTTAGCACAATTTCTAAAATAACCAAAAACAAATCAGTTAGTGAACCCCAGATGCCATCAGCCTATAGCAGCAACAATTTTATGAACTTCTTTAGTGATAAAATTGAAAAACATCTGGCAAAAAATTCAGAAACACAGTTAAACTCTACAAACCTGCTGTCTTATAATGCCAGTCTAGATCTTGGAAATATTGTAATCCTTGTAGAGAGGCTGGAATCGTTTACCTTACTTCAACAAACTTACCTAGTTAAAATTGTTTCCTCTGCAAAATCTTCTACTTGTATGTTAGATCCGATTCCTACAGGTTTACTCAAAGAAATTTTGCCAGAAATAACCAAGCCTATTCTGTCAATAATAAACTCCTCTCTTAGCCTTGGGTACATCCCAAAACTCTCAAACTAGCAGTATCTAATTATATACTATCAAATTATAGACCCATCTCGAATCTCCCCTTTATATCTAAGATCCTGGAAAAAGTTGTAGCAAAACAATTAAGCTCCTATTTGCATAGAAATCAAATACACGAAAAATTTCAATCTGGTTTTAGGCCACATCATAGTACAGAAACAGTACTAGTGAAAATTGTTAACAATCTTTTATTATTCTCTGACCAAGGAAATGTGTCTCTGTTAGTCCTCCTTGATCTTAGTGCAGCATTTAACATGATCGACCACTCTAGATACTAGATACTAGATAGACTAGAAAACCTTGTAGGAGTAACAGGAACAGCTCTTTCCTGGTTCCGGTCCTACCTCACTGATCACTATCAGTTTGTTAATATAAACAGTGAATCATCTGTCCTTGCAAAAGTAAAGTATGGTGTTCCACAAGGCTCTGTTTTAGGACCTGTATTATTCACATTATATATGCTACCACTGGGCACCATTATCAGTAGACATGGCATAAATTTCCACTGCTATGCTGATGACACTCAGTTATATATATATATCAAGTGACCCAGATGATAAAATTAAACCTGGCAAGATTGAGGACTGTATAAAAGACATAAAGGACTGGATGTCGAGTAAATTTCTCCTTCTAAACTCGGATAAAACAGAGGTTCTACTTCTTGGTCCAAAAGCTGCCAGAAACAAACTGTCTAATTTTACATGTAAACGTAATAGTTTCCCAGCTGCATCAGGTTCATCTGTAAAAAGCCTTGGTGTCATTATAGACCCTGATCTGTCCTTCGACACACATATAACTAATATTACTAGAACAGCCTTCCTGCATCTCCGCAATATTGCTAAATTGAGAAATGCATTCTCTCTACAGGATGCAGAAAAGTTAGTTCATGCATTTATTACTTCAAGGCTAGATTACTGTAATGCCCTGCTGGCTGGATGTTCCAAAAGCCTTAACGAGCTTCAGCTGGTCCAGAACGCTGCAGCCAGAGTCCTTACAAGAACCAGAAAGTTTGACCATATCAGCCCAGTTTTATCAGCCTTACACTGGTTACCAGTTAAATTTCGCATTGATTATAAAATTCTCTTACTGACCTATAAAGCTGTAAACGGACTCGCCCCTCAGTACCTGAGTGAACTTCTCTCTCACTATGAACCATCACGCCTACTTAGATCACAAGGTGCTGCTCACTATTAGTACCTAGAATTAATAAACCTACATCAGGGGGCAAACACTGTTGTATGGCTTGAAGCCATTTCTTTTTCGAGCCTTCTTATTGGCTTTTAAGTAGTTTTGGGCCAATTTCTCTCTTTTTGTTTTTCTTTTCTTTTTGTCTAAATACCCACCTGGACCAGGTACCATACTGGTCACCCCTCTACAAAGGTGTGACAAAGAGCTGCTGTTTGCCACGGCCTTACGTAGAGGAGTCCACAGGTGTGCCAGTCTGGGCCTAATCAGCCTGAGGGCTTCTGGGAATTGGAGTTCCCTGAACTTGTGGTGCCTCTCCACTGTTGCCCTCTGCTGGCAGCCGGTGGCGCAGGCTGTGCCCTTACAGGTCCTGACTTTGTTGATCATTTAAATCAATAGGTCAGTTAAGTACTTACTAAGTTCTTACAAGCTTCAGGACCAGAAACTGGATCCACATTGCACTTTGAAGTCCTTGTTTATACAGCATTCTGTCATGCACTAAATGGACAAAAGTATTGGGACACCTACACATCACACCTACAGGAGCTTTTATGAAGCCCGATCCTAAATTCTGCCTGTACTGAGAGATAAACTGTGCTGCTTGTTGATTTTTTTTTGGTAAAGGTCACAGAAATTTGATTCCCATTTTGTAGCCATTGTGCTGATCACATTTCTAATTGTGCATCTTTA